GAACTCTAGGGTTAAGGAGGATTGAGCTGGAGCAGTGGAAGGATGGGTGACCTACTGGGAAGTGAGTTTCGGGATCGTGGTTTGGTCGGATCGGATTGGTGTCGATGTCGATGTCGATGTCGGTGTCGATGTCGGGGTCGGGGTCGGGGTCGGGGTCGGTGTCGGGATCGGTGTCGGGGTCAGGATCGGGTCGGGTCGGGAATATGTTTCGAATTTTTCGTTTGAAAATTCCAACGGAATGCGGTTGAAAATTCCGGATATCGGTTGGAAATTCCGTTGGAAAATTCTAACGGATTGCGGTTGTAAAATTCCAAATTTAAACCGAAATTGCGGTTGGAAATTTTCCAACGGATGCCGGTTGGAAATCCGTTGGAAATTTCCAACGGAAAAATTCGTTGCAATTCTGTTGAAAATTCCAACGGTTTTCCAACGGACACCGATTTCTAACGACGAAATTCCAACAGATAAATCCGTTGGAAATCCATTGGAAACGTTAATTTCCAACGGAAATTTGGCCATTTCCAACGGATTTACCCGTTGGAAATAACCATTTTTTTTGTAGTGTGAGAGCAAAGCCCGGTCCTGAGGGAAACCCGATCTATCAACTACTCGACAGAAACCCAGATTGCTAAGGGTCAATGTTTTCCCTTTTCTGGAATTTTTTATTGAAATTTCTGGGTATTTGTTTGAAGATTTATATACGTTCATGAATCGGTCATTACTATTTTTGTTTTTGTGAGATTATTTCAGGGGAAAAAACGAAAGAGAAATCGAACAATAAGAAATCCGACGTGTTCTGGGTTTTTGTATTTGTGCATTTGTTTGGATTGCAATGAGAATGTTCTGGGTTTTTTCTTTGCCGTTCGCAACCTTTTATCACAGTCTAAAAAGCTTATTTTTTACAAATTTAATCGAAATTAAATCCATTTCGTATTTGTTGACGGAGTTTTCTCTTCTTTTTCTTTGTTCATAAAAAATGTTCGGCCTCCGGTGACGACGGTTGTTTTGAAGTTGAACTTCCATATGTCATGGGTGCATCGGGAAAATCCAGAAGACCCTCACAAAAGCCAAAGGTTAGAGACAATGCGAAGAAAAGGACAACGAGAAAGATACCGGTGACGGAAAGTAAAACAAAGGCGGCGGTGGAGGCGGGCAACCGAACGATGGCGGAGACGGCGGCAAAAAGGAGGAGGACACGAGCAAGATGGAGTACGTGGCAGCTCAACTTGGATCCGGGTTCGGTTACGGGATATTACTGTTTCAAACCGATTCTGAAAAAATCGGTTTTTTAAAACCCGATTCTGATTACGTGGCTCAAAAATTCCATTTGGCGTGACATGTCACCTGCCACGTAAGATATAAAATTATATTATTATAATCAGTTTTTTCGAAGGACTGATACGACATTTTTTAACAAGATTAGGATTTATTGGGATACTTTTTACAAATTCAGGAATTATTTGGCATCCTCGCAAGTTCATGAATTTTTTTTTTACAAGTTCAAAATTTTTTAGGGGTTTTAACCTAAAATAAAATATAAATGAACGTTTGTGTACTAATAATCCAACACTCTGAAGTAGAAAACTTCGCCCATTCATCAAATAGGCCCAATGGGCTCAGTGGAAGACTCGATACAACATGCGGAGATTTCGTAGTTTTGTGCAAGTGAAGTTTGGTGTGATATATGATTTTTTCCTAAAAATTATTATACATATATGTATGATTTTTAGGAAAAAATCATATATCATATTTACATATAAAACATATAATTATATATCACACATACATATAAAACATATAATTATACACATATATATGTATATTATATATATATATGTATATTATATATATATATGTATATATAAATATCTTTATATATATATATATCATTTCATTATATATGTATGTGTGATATATGTGTATAATTTTTAAAATTTTATTTTTATTAATATTATTTTTTTTATTTTTTATTAATTAATATTATTGAATATATGGGTTGATGATGGCATGTGTCTAGGATGTCATGTCAGTATTAAATATTATTTTTTTCGTTTAGGGTTTTATTTATCAAATTTTAAAAGTACAAAGTTTTATTTGCTAATTTGTAAAAGTATAAAGTTTTATTTTTTAATTTGTAAAAGTACAGGGTTTTTTTGGTTAATATAGACTTGTTTTCACTAAAAAGTCAAGAAAACTTGAATTCTTTTATTACAAAGAAAGCTTTTTTGGGTAATGGACCAATGGTTTACCTAAAGTGATTACAAAGAAAACTTTTTTTGGTTTAAATTACAAAGAAAACTTGACAAATATAATATATATATATATATATATATATGTATATATATATATATATACTGAGTATTCCATCATGGTGTTAAAATGAAATAGTGTATAGCCACAGATTTGATATGTATGAAAACAAAGACTTAAAAGTCTCATGAGGCATTCGGTCCACATCTGTCACTCCTCGTACCAATGGCATTCAAATGACCACCGAACTCTAAATCTAAATAGTATCTGCTAAGTATATATATCTCTGATTATGTAATGATCATGGTCTATTACAAGAAAAACCCAGTTAGTATCCCCATCTATTGAGAGTGATGAGAAAGGGAATATACTAAACCATCTTATTCATATATTTTTATCTAGAGAGACGAATTTGAACACGCGACCTCAGATCACACAATAAATGGTTTTACCGTTAAGGTAAATCGGCCCTTCAATGATCATGCTCTATTAAAGAAGAATAATTTAACTTTGATATGTAGACAGCATATCCAAGACCTAATAAGGTCACATATTCGCTTATGTTCAGCTTTATCCTTACAAGAAAATGTTAGGCAATTCTAATAAATCTTAAATAAAACAAAAACAAAATTTGCGTAATAAATAATATGTTGCTTAATTTGTTAATTATTTATTATATTATGCATATGATTTTGACTAATTCATGAATATTCAAGCTCCATCATCCGTGTAAAACGACAAAACCAGTTCGTTAGGATTCTTCTTTCAATCTTTGATTAGGAACATTGCAATAAAGAGGCATGAAGAATTATTAACTCTAATGATGGTGCAAAGAAACATTTAATTTATTGGGATTGTTATAACAATTGCATAATCTATTACATACATACACATTATCTACATAAAAAAACACATACATAAAGGACTGCATGTGTACAATACATACGGTTATATATGTTATATTTTTTTTTTTGATATAAATATATGTTATATATTCGTTGTCTCGTGAATGTGAATCGATTCTTTTTGGTTAATTGCAAATGAAGGGAAAAAAAACTCATATCGAAACGGTTTAATGTAACTTATTAAGATAAATCAAATGTCTTGATTATGAACCTATATATAAGCGGACCATAACAAAAGAATGCAAATCTTAGGGCTCAGACATTAGTTAGGTCGTAATGTTTTGCACGTGCACAACTAAACAACCAAAGTGTGAACCTCCATATATATACATAGACGGTCCAAGACATATTTCCCCATTTGTAAGAGGAATATAAATAGGTTAATTACATAACAGATGGAAAGAATCGGATATATTCTCCCTTATTAAGGCAGACCTAAAGTAAGGATTCATCATATATTCATATTTATGGTATTGGTAATGGAAGATGAGGCATGTTTATATAAATTTCTAGCTAGGGCATACAGCTTTTTATTTATGAAAACAAAGTTGGATCTTTGAGCCAGGCAACATCAAAACTAAATCCATAAAAAAGTCTTGTATATAATTCTATATATATATATATATATATATTGATCTTTGGGATCAAACCATCTTTTTCTTAAGTAGAATCATCATGAGTATAAGAGGTGCCCAAAAGTCGCAGAATGAAGATCTTCGGCGTCGTGAAAAGCCATCCATTGTTGAGAAGATTCACCGAAACTCGAGATGGAAGTATGGGCTTCCCCTGACGATTTATTCTCGTTGTAGTAATTCTCCATGTTGTTGTTGTTGCTGCTGCTGAGATCTCCGACCACAATCCCTTGTTGAATGTAAGACATCGTAATGTTGTCCGTAGGGCTTAGGTCGATTTGGTGATTGGAATTTGCGGTTTGGTGGATCTGTTGATGGGTTTGGTGAAGATCTCGATGTTCTTGATGAAGGTGAGAAGGAGGTCTAGAGTTTTCATAGTAACAATTAGGGTTTTCTAATGAAGGAGAAAGAGTATCGATCATGCTTTGAGCTGCTTGTTGCTTGAGAATCGCAAGTTGGGTTTGAAGATTAAAAACCTACAAACACCACACAGAAATCGAAATAAATCATTTGGATATATATACAGTTTTTTTTTTGTGCATATATATCATGCTCAATGAACAATCCCGGATTCGAGCGTGCGTGTTGCGATCACCATAAAAGGGTTTGGAGTAATTTGGATTATGATTTCCTTCTCCAATTTCCAAGTATAGTCCAAGAAAAGATTGAAAAGAGCCACCAAGATTAGGGTTTATGAAAACTAGGACTGAAGAGGAAGGCGGAAGAGACCTGTTGCTGGAGGGCAAAGATATGAGAGACGCAGCCATAGATGGGGTCTTGGAGCCGAGCTTGAGCTTCGTAAGAGATTGTAATGGCGGCTTCACAACGATCGCTGGTCGGAAGATGACAGAGCAATTTAGAGGCATTGCTCGCTCCAAACACCTTATGAATGGCCGCAAAATGCGAAGCTCCTTGTTCATGGCAGAAGTAAGGAGCAAACACGCATCCCTTCACGCATTTCCTCCTCAGAAATTTGCAAGCTCCACAAGGAGAACCAGAACCAGAACCACCAGCCATTGCGAAGAAAATTAAGAATCTGTAAAAAAAAAAAATAACTTTTTTTTTGTGTGTTGGTCTTATTGTTGCTATGGAAGTCTTGATTAACCCTGAGTAGCCCTTAAAGAGGCATTAGGGCCAAGTTTTATAAAGATGGCAATATAAAGAAGATGGTGGGTTTCATATAAATTAATCTATTTCTTTAATTGCATTTTGTCTGCCTAATGGCCTACACGTAATACATCACTTTTATGCAAGACTATTTTGTTTTTTCTCGTTTTCAAATTGATAATCCATCTGGATTTTGTATTATATAGACAATTAGAAATTAAAATTCCATATTTAAAAATAGGGTTACAGATAGAGAAAAAAGAGTAGTTAAGCACAAAGCCAATCACTTTAAAAAAAAAAAAAAAACTGGTCAATATATTTATATCAACTCATCTTATTTTGGTGTTTTGTCTCTTCCCTGCTATGTCTGTAAGTAGAACATATTCAAACATCTGGACTTCAATAATTACCGAGGACTACTGGTAAAATAATTACCTTGCTTGTAAAATTTATTTATTTTATAACCTCATTAGCCGATTTTAGACAATCATATATATACCATATGCAATTCCGTCAATTTTTATTTCTCCTTTTATCATATAAAAGAATTAATATTCATAAGAAAAAGTTTTGTTGCATCTCATTTGTCGATCGGGTCATTTGAATCTCAAGATTGATATAAAAAAACTCTTTTTATTAAGAGATTAAACATGTTTCTGTTGATCCCGATGATCTGGAATTCTGAAATTCAGACAGAATTTCGAACATAGAATTTTTTTTTGGTTAAGTCAAGGTTTGTGTTCTACACGATCTCCTCGAAACGAAAGTGGCCCGTTATTAAGTGGTTACAGTTTTGACAATCGTCTCCAAGATACAACGACTTACGATTCTACAAAAGCACCACTTGTTTAAGAAAATCCCGCGAACTACAAAAGTTCGGAATTCTTTAGAGAAAAGGTTTGAGATTTTTTCTTTCTGAAAAGAAGAAAACGCTCAGAAAAAATGGGATGCAGAAAATGATCCTATGGACACCCTATTTATAATATTCGGGGGTTGTTACGAAAACATGTGAAGGAAAAGGCTCCACCCTTTCAACCATCTATTCTATCTGAATCATTCCAAAAAGAAACGTTTCGTCAAGAACGCATTGGTTTAGAGTCCAACTATCTCATATCGACGCGCAACTTTAAATCCCACACTGAAACGTTATTCTCTGAATTGAATCGCCCCGAATGGAACTTTTAATTCAAATTTTAAACGTTCCGCTTGGGAACTTTGCTCGTTTTCTCCCAAAGAGGAAGAAGTAGGACCAAGTCTTTTTAGCTTTAGTCAACCTTAAACTTGAGCATTGTTGACTCAAGGGAAACTCTTTTTATAAGGAAGCCCATTTCTTCCTCTTGGCCAAAACTTTAGATGTGACACAAACATACATATAAAGAAACTTCTTTCCTTGTGCTTTGTCATTTTTCCAATATAGGACAAATATTCTTCCACCACATTTTTACATTTATTTTGGATAACCATATTTAAAAATTAATTTCTCATTCACCGTTTTAAGAAATTAAAAATGCTATAATTATCTACTCATTTAGTAGATTTCAAATATAACATTTATCTAACTTTTCTAACAGTTTACACTTACTATAAGATTTCCTACACTTGAGGGTAGGGGTGGGCATAATATCCAAAAAAAACGACCCGATCCGTTATTCGATTCGTATCCGAACCGAAAATTCGGATATCCGGAATTCACGGATCGGATACAGATATTGGTTTTAAAGTATTTGTCGGATACGGATCGGATACGGATATCAAAATAGAATTATCCGATATATCCGATCCGATCCGGATTTTTTTAATGTATTAATAATATATGGATAATTTAGTAATTAACTTATATATGGGGGATAACTTTGTAAAAAATAAAAATATATTAGGGTTTATTTTGTTTCTCCGTTCTTTTCCTCTTCTCTTTGTCCGCCTCCCTCCTTCTCTCTCTGCCCACACCATTTTTATTCGCTCCAAACTCATCACCATTTCTACAGGTTCCAAGCTCACAACCACCACCCTCCTCTCCAAGCTTAACACCGTTTTTATTGGGTCCAAGCTCATCACCATTTTTGTTGGTTTGGAACACTTTCTGGTTATTACCAACTTGGTATCTTGGTTTTCGTTGGCGATTATCCTTAGATTCATTCTTTTTTTCACTTGTACATGAAAAAATTAGTTTGTATTTGATAGATTATATATATTATTTGTTTTTATTTTTCTGTAATTTTATTTATCATTTTTGTTATTTTAACATTACATACGGATATTTGCAAATATCCGTAGTTTTTGCGGATATTTGAAATTGCGAATATTCGAAACTACGGATCGGATACGAATAATAAAATTTGATATTTGTACGGATCGGATACGGATACGGATATCTAAAAAATTCCGGATATCCGATCCGTGCCCACCCCTACTTGAAGGGTAAAAAATTTGAAGGCTTGGCATTTGAAAACTCCAAATATGTCTAAGACTACAAGAGATCATACACTTCTCTAAAACAAAACCAAAAATAAAATAAAAATCAGACGATCTAACCAACCCCGTCCAACAAATTAAAAATATTTTACCAAGGTGTATATAATATATATACATATAAATAAATAAAATGAAAGCTAGATTGGTTAACTACATACGCAATATATATATCTGTGTGTGCGCATGGTTGATCATTATGTAAACCCTAGCTTAAGGCCAACCTTGTGGTTGCATTGTTACAAATTATGAAATTTATATGAAAATGGTTAGCTATACATACATATAAGATCTCTGATAGATCGCATACGTGCTTATATATAGAGGAGGCTATTGTAGACCCGTTCTCCATTTAGATTCTCATAATTCCTTCCTTCAATATAATCTCGATATATATATGATATATCATCTTGAATATCTACGGATCTGTAATTTAACATGAAATATTCAATCACGTTTCTTACATCATGTGTGAATATACACGTCCACATACACACACATATATAAAGTGTATGAATATGGGTGATCAGATCTTTTTCTTTGTTTAGGAAAAAAAGGTTTTTTACTAACAGAAGCTACTTAAACTAATGTTTTTTTTTAATTTATAACCAGGATAGTTTCTCGGACCTTCGACCCGACTACATCCACCCTAGGCCCGGGACCAACTTTTGTATATGGACCATTTTAGGCCAGAAATTACATCCCTCCCCACCAGTAGAATCGAACCAGGACTTTGAGGATGACTTTGTCACCTCTCACCCACTGGGCCACCAACTGTTGAGTTACTTAAACTAATGTTTAAAACTTGTAAAACTGCTTCGTATATATTACCGTAGGTAGATCTTTTCTTTTCATCAAAGAGATTTATTTATTATAAAAAAATTACAAAACAGAGTTTTACAAAATTACGTGTTAACTGTTGATATGGTCCAGCTTAATTATATAGCGCTAAATGGGTTTCAACAATATAGAAGCTTCAGATTTTTTTGGATGATTTTGCCGTTACAATATGCATTCATACATTATAAATAATTATTTAAAATGGCTTTACCAAAAAAAAAATCATTAAATGGGTAAAAAAACAATCATAAAAATGAAACTAAAGGAATATATAATCGAAGATATGGTTTTGGTACATTATATGAAATATATATCATATGTATATATATATATATATATGTATATATATATTTTGTAACGGTGAGAACTCAACCATGTTAGAATAATCTTGTATTGGAATATTTTATTTTATGTTTAAATAATGTTTTTTTAATAATTTGAAATGGTCAAATTATCAAATCGAGTCTTAAGGGAAGATGGGTTGACAGGAGACGTGTTAGGAGTAGTTAACATTAATTTAGGATAGTTTGTTTTATTTATTTTCTCTATTTATATCTCAAAGGTTAATGTACAAATGTATATAGAGAGTAATAAAATGGTGTCCCACGGGGCCAAAGTTAATATTTTCTCTTTCATTATTTTATGAGTTTTCGTTAACAAAGGATTAAATGTGTTTGGTGTTTTTATGTTATTATCGAAGGGTTTTGGGTTTGAAATATTTGTAACAAACCACAACTCTTCGGTCGGTGATAAATCTCCAACTCCACGTAATACCATGCAAACCACGTGAAACATGTAAATAATCCAAATAATATGCTCACTAGAAAGTGAAATCGAACTCATGACATCTTAGAGAATAATGGACTCTGTTACCACAACATCAGGCTTCGAATTGGACTTCATATATATTTACAATACCCGGATTAATCACTTATATATTAGTTTGCCATATAATCTTTCAATATACATCCATTAAAGAAAAACACATGACACATATCTACAGAGAGCTTACTGATTTGGGAAGTTAAAACTTCACCATGGATAGATAATATTTGCTGGTTTCATATTCAAGAAATTTTGTTGTATGCATACACGCACAAATATATATATATATATATGATTCCTCTTTATACTTTTTCCAAGTAACATTATGAAATGTTCCCTAGCTTATGTAGTGGTGTTAAAGAAAAAATTGTTTAAAAGCTTCTGCCTTTAATTGAGAGCCTTTGTATGTGCTTGTTTAGTTAACTAAATGTGTTTAGAATGGAATTTGAATATCTGTTTTTCGTTTTTATAACATTCTCAAGCAAACTTGGCAAATAACATCCGGACATAATCCGGGTACAATACGATTCGATTCCATATGTCGACTTAATCAACCAAAACAATCGGGGATTCGATATTGTTCATTTTTAATTCAGAATCGATAAAGGGACAGAGATTTTAAAATGATGGGAAAAAGATGGTAGAGACAGTGGAGAGAGTATTTGATACATTTTGAACACAAGGGTCAGGGTTGTCGAGCAATACGATTAGAAAAAATAATAATCAAAACGTATACTATAAAGTATATTGAGCTAAAATATTGATGATGTTTGGTTAGAAAAATAATCAACTAATTTTGTGTCACACATAGGCACCAACATGTAAACCTTTTTCTCATATGGGTAC